ACACCTGAACTTGGATACTGATTTGCCAATTTCTCAACGAGCGAATGAATTCCAAACATTGAATTTCTTAAAACTACTCTATCAACGGCTACATGAAGATTTGTCGTGTTGGTAAAGTCTTTAATAATTGGGCAAGTTTGAATTGATTCTGAAGATAGCCACTTTTTACGTGTGGAATCTATCGTTTGCCAGAAAGGAGGCTGTTTTTTGCGCAGATGATGCATGGATACTGCTTCAGAGTGATCATTGCGATGCATTTTGATCGGATTTTAGTGCTTTGCTTTGGAAACAATGCAAATTCAAAACGGCAATCAATATTTTCACACCAAATCGATTTATTTAACATGCCATCAATACAACATCCGAATTTATACTACTATATGAGTACTTACAACATAGCTTTGTTAACAAAATCAACTATCGAATTTCAAATGAAATATCAAATTTGCCTAGTGCAAATTTTGAAGTATTCATACCGAAATTAGAATTGACACAAACAAGTGGATGGTTTTGAAAAAAAAATTCATTAATTGTAAGAGCGGGCAAAGTATTTCAGTTCCGTTCTTCCTTCACATAAACATCAAACCCTCAGGTAAATTACTGGAATGTTTCGCATGTTGATCCATTAGTGCACACTTTCGGGACGCTTTTGGTTGATGCCTAACGAGCAATCTTTTTCTTGCATTGCAGTATTTAGGACTTCGCATCGTATAACTAGACCCACTTAGAGTAATGCTTTATCAGTTGAACTGGCACTGTGCGATGTCGAGTTTGCATTCAGAATTACTTCCAAGAAGTGGACTTCAGCTGATATGTCGACGGAAACATATTTTACAATTTCCTGAGTTTAGAAAAATTTTTCTTCATGGAAATTCAATCTTCCCAATCATCCCCAATAAAATGAGCAGCTATCGATGTAATGAAACATCCATCTTATGAGTTATATCGAATTTCTGCAATGGCCAGTTGGCAGTGGTAACAAAACTGTGATACATTAATAATGCTGTCCATTTTGAAGGTATGCTCATTTTTCTTTGACATTCTTATTTTATTGATTGCAAATGCTTTAAAAGGATTTTTTTGGGTTCACTTTTCTCACTGTATTTTCTTCAGGCTTTTTCGTTTCCGTTTCCAATGTTGTTGCTCTCCAATTTAAATCGCTATGACACCACTGCGTCCTCCCGAGTGCGTTTTCATTCTATATAGAAAAAGGCGTAATCTGGTTTCACGTTTTATATCACTCTATGACCTTCAGCTATTCCTTTTGCAGCACGTTTTCGAGAATAGAAATGCTTTCAAGTACGCCCCTTTGAATTAAATGGTTTCGGAATCAGAAATAATCAAGTAGACGTGGCCATTTGAATGAATGTGTTACTGTTTGCTTAATAGCTTGTGATATAACTGCATCAACCTACGATTGACAGCAAAGAGATCACGAATATTAGCTCCTTGATAGTAGCAGTTCCTTGATTATTAATCTGCGTTCATCAATAATCACATAATCGAATTCATTTACTATGTTCAAATCACACAAAATCAAATTTCGAACAAATTCTCTTGAAACTGTTCAGAAAATAACGTATCAAAGTGACTAAAATCACGATAAAAACACTCATAAACAATGCAAATCGTAATTATAACATAACATAAAGGTATTGTTTCAACAAATTTTTTACAAATAACATTCACTAAGACTAAACAACGCAAACTTAAACGATTTATAAGGAATCGGATTGATGCTTCAGTGATCAGATCGTAACCAAAGATTGTACATTAGACTGAAGTGAACATGAGGGAGGTAATTGATGAAGGCGTTTGTGTAAATGCATCAAACAGTACTAAACACCTGACAAGTTACAATTGTTGATAAGCCTTTCAATACTTGAACGTTTACAAATTCATTGCTCATATTTATTACTAATTCTAAGAATTTTCCGCTTTAATTTCACCGATTACATGATAAATTCAAATTGTTAATTATAAAATTTCGCAACGTTTCTCAACTAATTGAAATCAAAACATACTGTGCTTTTTCTTCAATTAATTGAAGTGTACTTCATCATTGAAGCCGCAGACAGTGGTGGGCAACTTCTCCATAATAATAGTACACAAACTTATTCTTTTCTATTCACTTAACACACAGCACACAATTGGAATCATACTAGACAACACAAAATACAAATACGAAATTATTCCAGTCAAACGAACACATAAAATCATAAAACACGTGAAAAAATTCATTCCTAGCACGAAAACGTGAAAAAAGTAAAAACATTCATTGGTGACTATGAAAATATGAAAATATTCGCTAAAACTTTTTTGCGAGCTACGCAAAGAAAACTAGAATCATGTGCTGATGAAAACGCAAGAGCACAGTCATATTCTCTGAACTTTGCTTTGTCCAGATTACAAACTAACATCCATCCGAATTCAGATGGAACTCACCTCTAAATTTGTGATATACATGTATGCAAGCCGAAAAGTGTACACGGCAATTACAGACGTCATTTTTCGCTCAAGCATCAAGTGGAAGAGACTCCTGTTCGTACAAAAACTAAAAATTTGTGGAACGCTCATCGAATAATTCACTGAAGCGGAAGTGCGCTCGCAGTGTAACCATAGTGTATAATACTCAAGAAACGCTCATAAATGAAGATCTTCAGCAGTGACCAATACAAATCGACGTAGATACGTAAACGTGAGACGAGTGATTTCGTCTTCTGCAGAGCATGTTCGTTCACTGCCCATAAAACACATCGACTCATCTAAACAATAAAAGAACTCGAATTGATAATTGAAATTTATCAAATTTTGAATAGTGACGGAAAAAATTCATTGGATCAATTAAGACGTTTGGCGAGCTCAGTTACGAGAAATAAATGAGAAAAATGAACTCTTTCTGCGTTTGAACACATTGTATTTGCACCGGATTCCTAGTTGAATTGGTCGCAACCAACGTTAAAATCAAAGAAACAATCATAATCGAAAACTTTCAAAGTTTCAAATGATATGACATCCAAATTAGTATCAAGTTAGCACGATAAGAGCGTTTTTAAAATGAAGTTCAGTTTGGATATCATACCATTTTGAACAATGTGCAGAACTGGATGATTCCCTTCTTGACGGAGACTAATCCAAAAGAATGTTTATCAACGACTGCAGAAGAAAAATGAAGATTTGTTCGTTTTACGACAGATTTCCCCCCAATCAGCCCCTAAGAATGTATATTTTTCCCGGCAAAAAACGAATGCGATAGAGTGTCAAACTGAATCGTCACCTCAAGGAATGCATCGGCTCGATTCTGCGTACCAAGCCGATATTCAATACTTCGCAAAAGATCGTTCGTCTTCAGAATCAGAATCATTGGTCGAGGCATATTTTCGAGTACTTCTGATATTTGAGGTATCAACGACGCTGCATATGCTTTGATCTCATCTCGCTGAAAAGAGTCAAATCGCTCTCTTAATAACTCGGTTGAAGAGTTGTTTTACTAACTTTCAGTGATGAGCATTGGCTGATAACCACTTTGTCCATCTATTGCCTATGGCCAGATTAATTCTTATTTCATATTAATACCGTCACATAAACAGTACTGTGGCTAGCAAATCTATTTCAGCAGATAATTTTTTAATTAATACACGTTAAAGGACAATTGAATAATAGTGTAATACGAAGCCTGACCATAAAATAAAATATTCTTTCAGTAATCATAAGCTTCATTTTTAACTGGCAAATAAATGAATAAATGCAACTTCAACCTAATGAGACATTCATTAAGGGTGTAAAATCAACTCTTACTTCTTCTGCTCCATCCTTCACCTTATTCACGCCGCCCGTTACAGCCTTCCACGACCGATTAGTGACCATGCACGCGAAAAGACCATACAGATCACCTACACCCATTTCACTTGCTATTCGCTAAAATAACAACCACTTTCACCACATTTGCATATTCAATTTCACTCACACAACCGCTGTTTAGGTATGTAAGGTGAGCTGGTTAAGTAAACTGACAGAACACCGAAGACACAATTTCCAAGCAAACATAATTTTTCAAATTAAATTTTCTACCCGAAACTTCGTCGAAAAAGCACGAAAGTGATTTATTTCTCTTTTCTTCTTTTACTCAGTATGATGAATCTTACGAAGTCGGGATGCAAGTGATAATCTGTACTTGAGATGATTGTGGATTAACAAAATTTTGGACACGAAAAAGCTATCACCTTGATTTCGTCCTGATCCGGCTTCAGTATAGCCATCCACAGCTGCGCGTACTTCAACCGAAAATCGTCACGCAATGTCTGTAAAACAGATGCGGATAAAACTGGATCGAATGAAGCAAGCAAAGGTCACATTCAATGGATATCTATCGAGAACTATGCACTCATTTTCAATAGCCAATTGAACTATGAAGTCAACTAAAAGATACTTAAGTTAAAAATGTACGAAACAGAACTAAGAATTGACTTTACAAACAAAATTGCTACTCATTCCAACCAAAGCTGGGTCTTCCCCCTCTTAAACCATCCGAAATATTTGTTGCACTGAGTGCTAATGAAAGACGCAATAACTTAACGGGATAAATTGGTATTGACAAAAATTGAAATGAATGTAAACTGATGAATAGCGATAGAATCGATGAACAGACAGTAAATAAAAAACAGTAAATGACTGAGTTGTTTACCAAATAGAGTCCATGATCGAGAAGTACAATAGAAATGGTACCATCGACATTCTTATTGACGAGAACGTTACCCGGATGTGGATCGCAGTGCACCAATCCATTTACGAATATCATCTCACTGAATAAAGCACCTAGTTTACGGCAAACCTGAAAATTTCTGAAAGGTAAACTGCTACTACCAGTCAGTTCTAACTATACAGCTGGAATAACTGATAGGTGGCATTCATCAATGGATCACCACCATCTGCCACTATCAACGCTCAATAATTCCTCTGAGCAAACAGCATCAAAATTCTGTCAACTTAAAAAATTGTCAATCTTAACAGTACGTCCTGATTAAGAGGCAACAGTAACAGCAAGTTCGAAAGATTTCGTAGTTGACAACGAAGAACTAAGGCAAAAAATGAAGTTGGACACAAACCAAAACAATAACGCAAAACGCCCGAATTCTGCAAAATGCAAGATGCAAACCATTGCTGCCGATAATACCACTCGAGAATTATTGCAATCAACAAAATAATAATCAATACACGTGAATAACAATACCTCATGACGATCGACCTTATTTTNTCAATGAAGTAATCAACATCATTTATTTGAGCACCATCACAGAATTCCATCGTTAATACACGATCGGTCGTATATTCATAATAAATTTTTGGAACCTAAAAATTCTAAACGATATACGAGAAATTTTCCTAAACACAACCGTAAATATAATAATTCATTGGGAAAATGCATAGAATATATATGATGAGGACATCTGCTTGAGGCATGAGGCAAAATATGGAAAATTTGCCCGAAATGAAAAATATACCAACCATAATCATTCTTACTGAAGTTATAATTTCTTCATTGAGACTAATCGTAAGTGATGACAGAATCGAAATGAAATATGGTTGATGAGGATGATGACAGACTCAATAATCAAAAACAATAAGCACAGCAATAGTGAACTGCTTCATTAACAATGATGACGCCCTTCAACAATGTATTTATAATCAACAAGCACTTAAAAGAAAGACAACAAAACCTTAAGATAATCCAAATGCGCGTACATTGTCCGTACCCGTTCGGCGTTCGCAGCCTCATTTGTGAAATCCAGTTCAAGTGGCAAGTTCTTCTTCATCTCATCAACTAACCAAAGAAGATGAAACTCAGGAAACAGCTTCGCCACTAGCTTCACTAACACCTTAAAACATGACTTTCTAAAATACTTTCTTCTTCGACACTGTGCTGTAACACTACCATCTTACGATAAGAATGATGATAAGCAGAACAAAAATTCCTTTCCATCTCGTGACTGCAATTTCAACGAGTTCTGTCTCATCTCCGGTTGATCGATCTCCTTAAGTTTGCGCACAGAGCACTGGAAAAAAGGCAGGAATACTAACCTCCATCGATGTCATATCAATGAGACTATGAGGTTTAACACGAGGGTGTTGTACCTTAACCGCAACCGTCTCACCACTTTCGCGCAGTTTTGCTCGATAAACTTGTGCCAGTGAAGCGGCTCCTTGTGGACGACTTTCAAATTCCGAAAAAACATCTTCTAACTGCAACAATGAATCATCATTTATTCATCCATATTGCCACACTAATTACCTCACATTTAAGTTCTAAAAAATGAAGTGCTGACTTGGAAAGATCTGAATTAGGTTAATAAATGCAAAACACTATGATAAATACTCAATAAACAAAAAGGTAATTGAAAGGAGAGAAAATCAGAAAGAAAAATGTGGTTTTGAATAACCTTGACTTTGAGGTCTTCTTCGAAAACAGTTCGAGCATCGTCCAAACTGCTTTCTGGTGCTCGTGAATGCAAAACACTCAAGGTTTTTATGTATTCATCCGGTAAAAGATAGCCCAGCGCGGCCAAATGTTGTCCGACCTGAAACTACTACGCATTAATCTTTAAAAAGGGTAAATCTATCAAAATTACTCTTAAGTGCTACAATAGAAGGATAACTGCAATTGCTGAAAAACGGCAATAAAAAATTAAAAGGATATTAGGTCTCATGAGGACATTGGGGCATGGATCATTATAATGCCAAATAAGAAAAGAGGACAATCCAGATGTGAACAGCCTAAAAATGAAACAAGAAATAAGTGGAATACAAGGCACCTTAATAAAAACACCACCATTTGCACAAGCTAAATCGAGCAATTTTTGCGCACTTCTTTCATGAGCACCTTTCATAGCGTTCGCATATTCCAACTCATTATCGACACCACGAAAACGTCGCATGGTTAATTTATAATCAAGGGCGATTTGTGAAGCCTGCAATAATTATCATAAGATTAAACCTTACTGATGCGCATGCACGGATATTTACATTATGAATATCAAGAAGATTAGTCACAAAAATAAACATATGGACAAAATCGACGATAAACACAAAATTCTGAATAAATAGTGATTGAAACAAACCGCGATTCCGGCCCTAGCGAAACGGACCAAGCCTATCGATGAAATGTCATAATCGTTCCGTTGAATAAAATACAGTGAAAGTCCAGCCGTAGTGGCCGTTAAGCCTAATGAAACACATTGCACGCAACGCCAAGATATATGACGTAACATGAATAAATTCTACGCACTTTTCGGCATCCAACAGTTGATGGTTAAGGGAATCGATATAGTACAGACACAACAATATACTCCCTGAAACTTGTCAAAACTTCAGAATTACCTCAAAGTCTATATAGATTGAAGAGCACCAAGCAAGGAACAACATAACAAATCAAAAATTCATGAAAATACCATTAGAAACGGCCTTAAAAATCAGTAATCACTTCTGTAGCTATTAACAACATGAATAATGACTCCATGTTGAAACGATAAAATACGATGGCAATGAATTAAAAGTTCTTCACACAATACATGAATCACTTGAGAATTTATAAAAATATTGTTGAAACACGGTGTAAAATTAAAAATATTGAAAATCAGCGATGAAAACGGCAAATTGTCGGACCTCGCATCAGCAATATACACACACTTCGCCAAGTACGACAGTTCGCCAAGTGGCTGAAGTGGGATTTTCATTTGATATGGAAATGTGAATTTCTTACCGATTTGATGGGAAAGAGTCCGGGAAATTCATCTATCATTTTGTAATGCATATCTAGGAGAACAGAAAACGTTTTACAGATTCAGTAGAAATCAACATGTTTTCGAGATTTTCGATTTCGCGTTAAGTACAAACATTCAACAAATAATTTGAATTGGTACCTACCTAACAGGGAAGCTTTGTAATCATGATATATGCCAAGTTGTAGCCAAAATTGAGTATTACAGAAATATCTTTTAAATATTGTCGGCAATTGGTAAGTTATGAGAGTTATGGCGCTTGGCGTGACCAATGAATCTCGAGCAACCGATAAATAAATAAGTTTCACGATATCCTCAGGATAAAAACGAACAAACATCAGGCATTCGCGTTTGTAAGCATGACTGCTTGAAAATATTGGTGATTAATAATAAGTAAACATGTGAAGTTGCGTTTGTGTTGGAACATTCTTTGTGATATTTTCAAATCACCCGTATACTGAACAAAATTCATAGATGGAGGCAAGGATAATTTGAGTTACTGAATAGTGCTGACAATAAGTAAGTGATGCCAATATAGTCAAGGTAACAATTTA